TGAATGTATTGGGAGTTGGCCACATTCCTGCTTGTACAATCTCTTCCAAAGAACAGAGGATCCTAGCAGCTAAAAACAAAGTAACATGGCGTATCCGGTGCGATGATCTTCCATTGACAAGTCAGAATAAGCTAGAAAGATTAGTTCCCAAACTCAGCCAGTAAGGGTAACAGGAGAAAGACCACAGGAAACAGAAGGATTCCAGTGTATAAAAAGGCGAGAACAGAAACCCAAAAGGATTCAGTTCGAGACTTACAACAACAAACAGAATGGTCAGGATAAAAAGGACTATTGAGATCAGTATGGAAGAATAAATTAATAGCATAAATATCAGAACAACAATGACCAGTAGTGAAAAGGAAATAGGTCTTAAGGGAAAAGTATTACAAAGAACACATAGCAACAGGTTTGAAAGGAGAATGGGCAAGAGCCCTGTTGAGCCACCAAACAAGGTTGGCCTTGATCACTGGGGAAAGGGTAATAGAATGATCCAAGGGATCGCAGGAGAAGTTCCACATGTCGAAAAGTGTCCACTGAAGGAAACACGTGTGCTCAACCAAAGGAAATGAGAGCTTCCAGGGAACCATGTTCCCAAAAGAGAGAGAACCTCTCAAGCAGGAAGAGAAGGTGAAGACAGAGCCTGAGTGATTGCTCTTTCCATATCCAGGAGCCAAAGTGGAGAAGGCTAGGCCTGACCAAGATGAGAATTGAAGAGGATCCTTAAATGAATAAGGTACTGAGTGGGAGTGATAAAGGACTTCTGCACCTTGATGAGAAACTCCACCCTAGCAGACTCACAAAGAAGGAAGTGGGTGTGATAAGCAGATTGGGCTCAGGAAGAGGTGAGCAGGAGCCAGTCATCCATATAATGATGAGTTCGAAAAGACCCAACAAATGAAGATGACATGCAAAGGCATGGACAATCCAGCAGAACACATAAGGAGCCAAGGCAAGATTGAACAGTAGTGCACAGAACTGGAACACATCCTCCCTGTGGACGAACTGAAGATAATGATGTGACTCCTGAGCAATGGGGATATGAAAGTAAGCATCTGTCATGTTGAATATCGTCATCCAAACACCCAGGGAAAAAACCCACTGATGTGAGAGGTTGGATGAATCCATGATAAATCAGGGTGTGTCCAGAAAGGCATTCAGCCAAGATAGATTGATAATAGGTCTACAATTTCCCATCTTTTGGAGGACAACAAACAGATGGGAGTAAAAATCCCATGAACAGGCACAACACGTTCTACAGCACCCTTGTGAAGAAGATGGTGAACAGACTGCAAGAAACAAAAGGACAAGACACGATCCCAAGAAGAATGAAAAGAAACTGGAAAAGAAGACAAGGGAGGAGAGGACCAGAATTGAATGCATAGACCCTCTGACAGAACCCATAACACCCATGGATCTGATGTGAAGGGTTTCCAGATGACAGAAAAGAGTTGTAACCTGGCCCCACCTGCCCATGGGAAAACATCACATCACTGATAACGGTGAGGCCGAAAGGAATGGGAAGAATGAGTGTAAGGAAGGGAATGTCAGGAGTAGGAAAAGAGTGGGGTGAAGAAAGAGTACAGGGCACTCAAATAGGCAAACATTGAACAGAATCAGTAGGGCAAGACAAACGAGAAGCAAGGGAGGATAAAGAAGAATGGAATCTTGACACATTGACTCTGGACTCCAAAGACTCAGGGAGTCCCCAAAGACCATTTTGCATAGAAATGGAGCCTGATGAAGTTCCCATAATGATAAAAGTGGCAGACACCCCACACACACAAGTAATGCACCCCCCTGAGTAAATCCCAACAACACAAAATCCAAGTAGTGAAGGACAATGTTGAAGCCAACAGCCGTGCCACAGTAGACCCCAGGAGTGTCCAAAGATTGGCTGAGAACTGATCAGGGGACTGGTGGAAGGCCTGAGACAACAACTGTAAAGAGGAAAAAAAACATGTAAAGGATTGTTCAATGTAATGCAAATCATAGTAAACTGGGACCTATTAAAGTGAACCAAGACATCAGGATTAGAACCACAGAAGGGAAGGAGTGCGTCTAAACACTGAGACAGGGATGTGAGGCACTTTGGTCCAAAAGCTGAAGGGACGAGGCATACCTACTCCCGACTGTACTTGAGCAACAAAATGTTGAGCATGAACAAGAATGTCAGGAGAGGGAGGAAATTAATAATAACAATGAGAACAATGCTTTTCTCCTAGCAAGGAAGAAGTAGAAGAATCAAGGGCTAAAGGGGAGACATGTTAAATTTGACAAATCTAATCAATAAGGTGTAAGAAAGGCATGGTTAGCAGACTCTCCTGATTGTCAGCTTTATGTGACTGGCCGAAAACAATCATGGCTGGAAAAACAGAGTCGAAATTGTCCTCCCCCTGATGAAAAACTTCCTCAGAAGCATGGTCTTGGGGGAAAGAAGAATGAGCAGAAGCAGCAGCAAAAGCATCCAACTCCTGGAAAATTAACTCCTCAATCTCCTTGGCCAACACCTGCAACTCACCACGTTGGGGACTAGTGACATGAGTTTTGTCTATATTGGTGGAAACTTCTTCACCCACCACATGAAAATTCGAATTTATAAGTCCATATGGACTTTTGAAAAGCAAGAAATAATAATAATATAGGAACTACTAAATGAACAAGTAATTCCAACTAAAAGTGAAAATTAACAAGAAAACACACGAAAATGTAGCAAAATTTGCTTGAAGAACAACTGAAAACATGTCTGAACGCTGTAGTGCTAATTGAGAAAGTGAGGACTGTGCTGTAATGGTAGAGGGAGCCACATGTGCTAATATAGAGGGTGCAGTTGGTTTGGTGGAGGGTGGTCACATGTTGCTGCAATGGTGCAAAAAATATAGGGGTATAAATGACTGGTACTCTGTTCATAAGATTTACAAATGCCTAGAGGGCAAGTGAAGGTCGAGGTAGCTATGGGTGAGATGAGGTAGTACCGTTTCAGAATAAGTACTTTATTTTATTGTAAACTTTTTCTTGCACAATTTCTTAAAATAAAAATTGGAACAATAATCACAAGAAACACTGAACTTTTCAAGTTTTCCTTACTAGAATTTTTTTTCTACCACAGATACTGTGAAAAAGTAACTATAAAAAAGTTAACTGATCACTGAAGCAATAATAAAATTGTTTATTATAATTATGTCCTGTATTAATGTTTTTATTATCTTTTGTTTAAAAATATTTTTCCAATACTATATGTATCAATATAGCTTGTAACAAGATGTACTGGAAGAGAGATGCATCGTTTCTACATGTAGTTACAAACACAAGATGACTATGCAAACAAAAAATATATAACAAAACTTACATTACTATTAAAGTTGAATTGAGAGAATGCTGGAGAAGTAACTCACGGAGTCGAATGTGGCGACGAGTCTAGAAATAAAATTTGCAATGATTTACCACATGCTCAATATTTCATTCATTTGAAGACAAAAGGAAAATATATATATCATTTCATTAAGAAAGAATATGTATTAAAAAGCTAATCTAAAGAATTATAAATATTCAACTTCTGTATTATGTACATTGAAGGGTTTGACATCCATCATCTTGACTTAGTTTTAATTGGAGTATTCCTACTTTTAAATGCTTTCAAATTGTGCTGAGAAAAAGTTTTTATATTTATATTAAACAAAGCTATCAAGGCTTTTCTGTGAATTATAAAACATTTTTGGCTATAAGGAACTAGGTGTAGTTGGAAATATGTAAAGGTTCAAAAGACAGAAAAACATTTATTTTTATAAGCTACAATTATCTGTTGATAAACAAAATAAAAAAGACCATTTCAAACACAGCACAGTGCAAGAAATAGATGTAAAAAACATAAACTAAACATCTCTATCTACAGTATGAAACTCCAAATGTGTGTATAATTACATGCAATGATACTAAATCATTATGTAGAATAAAAAATTAGATAAATCACACAACAAGAAACCCAATAAACTGAGAATTTTCAGAAGGGAGATAGATCTCTCTTCTCCAAACTGAATCGGAAGTTTCTCCATGCAAATAATTTCAGTGGTAATATCCAATAAATAAATAAAATGAATTCAGTCTGTTAAATTTCATGATGTATACAATAATCATATTTGTATGAAAACTGAGTCAGCATATGTTTTTCTCAATTCCCAATCTGCAGGTTCGAATCCTTGTCCTACCAAATGTGTATTATAATGTGACAGTCAATCCCAGTAATTGTTGGTAAAAGAATAGCCTGAGAGTTGGCAGTGGGTGGTGATGACTAGCTGCATTCCCTGTGGTCTTTCCCCGCTAAATTATGACTGCTGGTGCAGATTGCCCACGTGTAGCTTTGGACAAAATTTCAAAACAAACCATGTTTAAGTGTGCTTTTTATATTACTGGAACTTAACATGGAAATTGTGGTTTTAATGAAAGAAGTATAGCAGACTGTAATTTCCTTTTCTCATGCATGATGAGGGGGGAGAACCCTAACCATCTGGCCATGCTAGGCCTCTTAAACATGGAGAAATCCGGATCACCAAACCATCAAGATATGAAGTTGAAATGCAAATTATAATAAAAAAATTAATTTCATGTAAGGGATTTAATTTGAGATAAAAAGTATTAATGCATATTAACCCATGAACACTATATTCTGTTGATCATTTTGAAACACTATCCTATCATTAAAATTAGTGATAATTTACTTTTTCTCATATTTCTATTTATCTTCAAACTAAACCTGTGTGTGCTAATACCAATATTTCAAAAATTCATATATATAAATAAAGTAAAAAATCTGTATGTCGGTCTCTTTGTTCTTCATCTAACTACTCCTATCTCACTGGGAAAATCTCAACCAAACTTTGTGGGATGATAGTTTGGAACAAGGGGGTATATTAATGGGGTTCACAACCCTTTCCACACCCTATTATTACTGTTATTCAACATTTATTATATTTCACGTAAAAAAATGCAGCCAATGACCAGTTAATCATGTGAAGACAAGGTCAACACATGTACCCTTAGTTCCACAGTGTTTTACCATTACCTCAGAGGTTGCCAGTTGCTCTCCACCTTGACAGTAGTTGTAAATAAATGGTATAATATGTATCTATGTATATATACAAGTAGTGTTGCTTTGTAGTTTCCAAATTTACAGTCAACTTCGTGAAGTGCACACACAAACTACACATCTACCTAAGTGTGTCAAGATGCCCATATGAGTTCTGAAGTGATTGTATTCACATAAGTCAAAAGTAACCAAAAGGATGAATGAAAGGAAATTGCAAGAAATGGCAAAAGAAACTGCTGCAAGACAAGCTGGAGATAGGGAAAGAATAGCTAGAAGAAGAGCATAAGGGACAACTAGTGAAACTGCTGCCACACGAGAAAGAAATCGTGGCAGAATGACAAGAAGAAGAGTGAAAGAATCAGTTGCAGAAATTGCTGCTGGAGGAGAACAAGAATATCAAGCTCAAATAAAGGTTGTTGCTGCTGGATGAATATATAAGATGTACTTCAAAACAGATTATGATCTAAATCATTATTATGCATCAGAGTCTGCATATGATATTGGAAGAAGATCTATAGAATGTAATTTTTGAAGGACAAAAAGGTATCTGAATCAAAAATCAGGACTGGCAAAGTTGAATTGCAACCTTTGAGAGAACCACCACCACTTCTAAATGTACTACTTCTGGGAAATATTGAAGAATATAGAAACATCTTAATGAATATCTATATAAATAAAGCACAAACATCTGTGTCTGTCTGTTATCTAACTACTCCTAGGTCACTGGGTCAATATTAACCAAACTTTGTGGGATGATAGTTTGGAACAAGGGGCATGTTAATGGATGGTTTACAAGTCCTCCCCCCCCCATTATTGCTGTTATTGAGCAATTATTATCTTTGGTGAGAGTTAACTTTAACTACATCCATAGATGGTGCCACGTCCTTACACAATAAATATTTTTATTACATTTTCTATAACAAAACGTATACACAGTGTTGGGGAGGGCACACAAACATTATATACCCCAGAGAGTGTGCTAGCATTCTCTATGGAGAAATGAAATGAAAAAATGGCTGCCACTATTGCAAAAAATATGTAAACTCAGCTGAAATTTCTACTCCAACAGCAACAATAAGGCTGATATGAAGAGCCAATTTTTGAGTTATACCTACTTCATACTTTGACATGTGACTTTTCAATTTTGGCCCATAAGACACTTCTGCAGTCAACAACCATCAATTAATTAATCACGTGAATCACTGTGGAAGGACCTTAAGAGCTGGTTGTTAAAAGCAGGTGACAGAAAGCACACCTACAGCCACTACTATGGCCATTATATCTTCCTTCAAAATCACCATGATAATTGCACAGTGTATACCATTTTAAAGTATACACATATTGAATTCTTAAAGCTAACATAAAATGTTTGGTTAGGTAATAATGAATATTTTAATAATATACTGTGTTATAAATAAATTGTGTGAAAGTTAGGATTTTTGTATCATTTACCATAGCATCCACCCAATATGTTTTTCAGTTTCAGTTCATAACTTGGACAAAAGACGGGTACCTCAGCTTGTTTGTATGTAAACATTAATGTAGACACATATCTAATTGTATACATAAGTATGATATCATGCTTTAATGCTCCATAAAGATTAAGATTTGAGGAAAATATGCTAACAGAAACTAAATGGGCTTTGATATTTTTAATGTTTCCTGCTTTTTTATTTAGCTGGCAGAGCTAAAATAGAAATGGCTGGCACTGTTAGAGCTACAGGAATGATATATTCAGTCAACTGCTTATATTTTATATAAGTTTGGATCCAACACGTTGTGAATGACAAAAGTGTAAAGAGATTAGTTTTATCTTCTTTGAGTAATGAACTATTAAAACTAAGTCCTTCCAGTACAGCAGGTCAACTTTAATCCAGAGAATGATACAACCTGAAACAAAATAATGTTGAACATTATATGTAGCTCATGATACTCTGATTCATACTAACACAGTATGGTAGAGTTAATTATTTGCTCTTTTATTTTTAGAAACTCAACTGAACAACAGAAAGGACAAGCATGTTTGGCAAAGAATTTTGATCAAGTCACCCACAGATTGCAAGTTGTGCACTCTAACTAAAAGGCCATGTTAGGCCAGGTACATTTTTTTTTTCATTAGTGTTAGAAACTTTGTTGAAGAAACTGGAAACACAGATTATTTAAAGCATGATAAGTTCTTCCATGGGAAAATTATGAATTATGTAGCTATTTTGTTACTTTTCTGTTAATATCCCAAACACATAATATATATGATACGACAGCTTTGTCTTCGTAAGGCAGGGATCGGCAACCTGCAGCTGTTTAAGGAGATTTGTGCAGCTCTCAGGCTTTACTGTTACTATGAAGAAAAGTTGAGAATCTTTCAGGCACAATGGAGAAGCGAACCTCTGATTTTAGAGTTGTAAATCTTTACAACTGTCCCGCTGAGAGACTTTTTTTAAGGTTAGACTGTTAGGGCATATTGCGGCTGTTGCAATGAATTGGTCTTAGATATAAAAAACAAGGGTCTTCTTCCTTGAAGGGCTGCCAACCCCTGGTATAAGGGGTGTCACATCTCTGTCATGTACTTGATATAGACTGAAATTTAACAGTCATGATAGTATCAGGAGAAAAAAGGATTAAGAATATTAATGAAAATGTGACAAAAAAAAAGATGCAAAAATAACATTAATATAAACAATTTGTGCAGACAAATAACTTACTTTATCTTTCAGGGCTAGAAACTCAGAATCAGACACTGACAGAAGAGGATCTCTTTCGGACTCATCACTTGTTCTCCATTTATTCAATAATGCATCAAACTCTTGTTTGCTAGAAACAAAAAAAATTAATAACTGAGCATAAACAAAAACAATTATTAATTTCTAATTGTCTAAAACTTCCAAGTTCAAATATCCTTATGTAAGTAAAGAGAAAAAAGTTGTTAATTTTTGACAATAAACTGATAAGGCCCATTGCCATAATTATTTATCTATTAAAATCTCAAAATTGCTATCAATATAATAAAATTATACATTACTTATATGAGCTCATTTTGATAGAAAAACTATTAAAACACACTGAAAAGGTACACCCTTTCAATTTATAAGTGTTGTACTTTTATAAATGTTGAACCTTTGTATATTTAGGTCTCCACAGAGAGACACTGTTTTTCCATTGTTTCTTTTTTCTCTCTTTGTTCTTTTTCCAAACACTTTTCAATTAACCACCATTCCTTCATTTCTTGGTGGATTGACTTGAAACGTGGTAGAGTTATATCCTGATCCAATACACCCAGACAACTTTTTAATTTAAGACTTTTTAAAGATTTTATGGGGTTAAAGGTAAAACAACCCAAAATTGTATATTTTGGGTTCATGTGCATTCATATCTACTGCAATCAACATGGAAACTGGCATAGATATAAATTTTCATGTGCCCAACACACTGACACACATAAAAGTTGGATTTGCAAATTTTGAATATTTTTAGGTGGGTCAAAGCTTACAAAAAAGCATAATTTTGGGGCAATTACTCAGCCATATTTTAACCAATGTACCTGGAATTTGGTACAAAGATACTCTTCTACAGATCCCACATTTTTATATATATATGTGTGTGTGTGTGTGTATATATATATACACACACACACATACATACATACATACATACATACATATATATATATATACATACATATATATATATATATATATATATATATAATAAATAGTGGTATACTTAATTAGTTTGTCTAACTTACTATTATTAGTTGTTACAAATACTTATTATATGTA